TGCCCAACTCACCTCTTCCGCCCCTGATGATATCGTAACCAACCCTATGTGGCAATTCTCTGTAGTGATATAACAGGACCCTTCTCCTCAGGCCTATTTGAAAGCGTTGGATTTCTAAAATATATGTGTCTAACGATGTCACACTCTTCTTCGTTGTTTGCACAGCTTCATTAAAAGTCATTGAGGCGCCAACAAAGCCTGTTCGCATGCTTCCCTAAATACTACTTCCATTTTCAGTACACCCTTGTTCATGGATACTTCTCTTTCTTTTTTACCCATTCCGGCCATATGAAAGTGCTCTTTCGTGCAATTTATCACACCATTTGATTGTCTATTATGTCTGTGTCTCCGCAGCTATGGTAAGTGAAAAGAAAAATGCTCAACCCATCACGCTGAGTCATCTGCAGCATTCAATATGATTTCCAAGCATAAAGCTTTAAGAGCTAAATCCGTGTCAGAGAATAAAATTACGTCTGCTTGGATAAGCCTTGGTGGTTCGGCTTGGAGGAGATTGCATTAGGCCAATGGGCAAATTTAGATTTATTTGTACAGACAAGGGCGTAGCCAGGTAGGGGCAGGGGGTTGCTCGAGCCGCCCTCCCTAACTTTGAAATTTTCCTTATATATATATAAAATAATACCCTGAAATGCCAGCTTAATAGGGTCGAGTAAATAGTTGTACGTCGATCTCCTGCCAGCTGCCTTCCGGTCACTTGTAGTTGATATACTCGATTTGGTGAGTAACATGGCCGTATGTTCTTTATGAAAATGGACAAATTGTTCTAACTTCATAAGAAGATCTCAAGCTTCTGTACATAAAGCACTCGAGCATATTTCAACAGAAGATGCTCGCGGTGCTCCAACAGTCGCAATGGCCCGGTGAGCCAAGCACTGGCGTGCCATCTGAGAGATCCGAGGATCGAACCCTCGGGCAGCAGAGTTTTTTTTCCTTTTGAAGTTTATTTATTGATCTTATTTTAATTTCATAATTTTTGACTTATACATTTTATTGTTTTAAAAAGGAAAATTATATAGTTTTTAACTTAATCTAATTTTTAGAAACATATTATGTGTGTGTTTTCTTAGTTCATATTTCTTTGGTTTTTAATTTAGTTTTCCTTTAATTTTCTTTTTTAAATCAATTTTTCTATTTTATTCTTATAAAAAAAAAATTATTTTTAGAAACTTATTTTTTGTATTTTTTTAGTTTATATTTCGTTGTTTTTTTAATTAGTTTTCTCTCAATTTTTAGATTTTATTTTAAAAAGTACATACTTTTTTAAATGTATTATTTTTCTTCTCAATTTAACTTTCTTTAACTTTTACATTTATTGTTTTAAAAAGATAAAAAATTTTTTAAATTTTATTTTATTTGTAGAAACTAATTTTATTCTTTTATTTATTTATTTTTCTTAGGTCTTGGCTTTTATTATTTTAAAACAGAAAAATATTTTTTAAATTTCATTTAATTTTTAGGAACTAATCTTTATTTTTTTCTTTTTTGAACTGATTTTTTTTTTAATTTTTAGATATTGTTGTTTTAAAAAGAAAATATGTTTTTATTTTCTCTTACTAATTTAAT